CTCCACGATTGCCACCTGTTGGCTGGCTGCAGTATAGGGCATACACCCCACCTCCTCTATGTTTGTGGATAGGACATGAGCCAAACTAAAAGGTCTAAGTAAATAAATAGTGTTTTTCCAGTAAGTTTTAATTACTTATCTGATGCTATAAAAGACAGCTGAGGCGTGTATCTGGCTCCAAATACATACATGACAGTGTTCCTATCCTGGATATTTCACCTCCATTTCACCACACTGTTAAAATCTGATCTGCAGTCAGTGGCGCAGTCTTTTTCTGTTGCATGAAGGGTGCATTATCACGCAAACATTAGAGCGAAACACACAAATGATCTATTCATGCGGATTGTGAAACAGTTTCCTCTGCAGAGAAGTGTTCTTTCTTATAAACCTGGCAAGTCTGTCTGTGTGCACCAATGTGCAAGCTCATCTGGCTTTTAAAGGGAATAGGACCTGGCTCTCTGATTGATTTATTGCATGTTTATTGCAAACTTATGATTCATTAAGAGACCAAGTACAACCCTTTACAAACTTTGTTCCACCCTGAAACAAGCAAAAGTGGATTTGGAAACAGCCCAAAATGCACTGTGCGCTTTAGACCATGAGCTGAGATAATTAAAATGGAGCCCTAAGGCTGCAGTTTCCTACATTTCCTTGACCTCGATGGAAAATGTCTTGAATTCAAGGAAAGATGTGACTTGATGACGTAAGAAAATTGCTCTGTTCCAGCTCTGATCATGGCTGCCATTTGTAGAGCGAAAGAGGCATAATGTTATTATGACATGGTTTAAAACAATTAACTAAGCCCAGCTTGCTTTTTAGTCCAACTTAATGAAAACATCAGGTCATCTAGACTGGCTCCAGCCTTGCAACACACAATAAATCCTCAGACTTTGTCCACTTCAATCACAGAGAAAAGCTGGTTTATTTTCCATGGAAGCCCTCCAAGATATCAATCAGTCTGTGGACTCCAATTTAAAAAACTTGAGCAGTGGATTCTAAATATCACTGCCAAACCTCTCCATCTTTTTCATCTTATCAGCCCCCCCCTCACCTCCCTCGCACAGCTCAGTCACACATCCTCTTATCCCTCAGGGAAATATGTGTGCATCCATCTGAAAACACATGATGGAAAAACACACCTTCTAAAATATCAATAACTTCTCGCATTAGTCAAATCCTCCCCTGTTCTTCTTTTGAGATGCTGGTCCCAGATGTAAACTCAGTCACACAGACAAATACAGATAAAGATGTACGTGCACACACACACAAAATACACTATATGAAAGCACACGCTCGCACATTTTAATTAGCAGCACTTTAGTGCAGAAAGCACTAAACCGTGGGCTAATTAATCTCCACAGTCTGTGTTTTCACTGGTAAACCACCACAGGGAGGGGAACAGGTTGGACTCTACTTTGTCGAGTTTGTCTGCTGGGGAACAGGAAACAATAAGGTTGAAAATCTTTAGAGGTAACAGGGGAAAGGTCGTCAGATTAATATGCTGTTGAAGGCATTTTCTTGCACTGGTGGTCAATGCCATAATCTGTGTGTGTGTGTGTGTGTGTGTCTGTGTGTGTGTGTTCAGCGTAGTCGCATACTGCTTCTCATTACAAATCCTCTCATGACTGTATTTAATTTGTGGCTCTGCTCTGTGGCCTTTTGTCAGCAGATGGGCCAAGTACCGTCTCTCTCTGTCTCCCTCGCTCTCCATCACCCCCTCCTCAGTGTGTCTGGGTGTGTCAATCACTCTCCCTCTCTGCCCTTTCTCTGTCACTCTGCCAGTTCCGAGGACACAACCCCATCTATAAATTGTAGTAATTTGCCAAAGAACGCCCGCAATTGCGGACTTCCTGTGCACGTGACGTCACCTCTGGTTGCCCGGAGCTGAAATGACTGGGCTCTCTGTGCTGGTCAGAGCCGGAGAAAGGAAAGTCAAGAATGCAGAGACGGAGCGTGAACCGGCGAAGGTACTAATCCTCCTGGCGTCTTAGCGGTAAAGGGCAAATGGCTGATCAGATTGCTGAATTTGAGGACTCCCTGCATTAATAAACCTGCCTCTGAGTGGGAATAGATTGTGCAGATAAAGTCAGATGTGGGTCTAATTTCACCAACAAAGCAGCAGCTGATTGGTCTAGTAGCATCTGGATGACTTGCTGTATTTGACGGGTATGGAGGCTGACAGGGAGATGCAGGGCAGTGCAATCGAGATGATGCCATCACACACAAACATTTGCACTGCGCCACTAATCCTGTTAAGCTTCAGTCTGAACTGTTGAAGCCTGGTGCCCCCGTCGTGGGTGCTGCCCTCATTTCCACTGCTCATTTCCTGCCTGGGGCAACACCTCTCTACCTCTCTCTGTTACTCATGTGTCCATCCCAGAAAAATTACAACTTCTCTTTCTACTCTTTGGAACACATCACTAAAAATCTATCTTTCTAACATCTAATACTAACTTCCTTGTGGATTTAATAACTGGTTTTGTGCCAAAAACTGAAGCCTTTTAAAGCTGTATTGCCCTGTTTATATACTGTACATCTGCAGGTGCTTATCTGGGTCAGACAGTCAGAACTTGGACACTTTATGTCCCTGATAATAAAGGTATGTCTTTGTGAAACTTTAAAGTTTCTCATTTTTTGTGCTTGCAGTTTAGAGCGTGTAGACATGACATTTACACTACTTTAATAGAGAATATTGTGTGTTTGGTAGCCCATGTCTAATATCATTTTTAGAAGCTTCACTGTTATTAACTTGATTTACAGATGGGGTACTCTTTGCAATTATCCTTGTGGCTCTGCCTTCTTTTGACCTCATGCCTGAGGAACCAATCCAGTACTTTTTACCAGTTTAAATATATTTAAGGTAGTAATGTAACTCAGTTTTCAACTGAATGTGAATCTGTCACATTCTGGAGGACAACATTGGCATTGTAGCCTTCCTCTTTGCAGAAAGCAACAACCCACTGTAAAGGCAGTCCTCTTAAATCACCCAAGCTGAACCAAATTTTACACACTTATAGATATCAGTCCCTTAAATATGACTGATTTGTTGTCATTAAGATCAACCTCGCCATCATTAAACCTCATGTTCACTTTGTTTAAAACACCTTTAATTTCACCACAGCAGAGTCGCACATATTTGCTTCCACGGATCTTCAAAACATAGAGAAACATAGTCATTTAGTCATTTATTAGCAACCATTGATTGTCTGAATCATAGGGTCCTGACCTTTTTGCCTTGATACCCTTTGTAGCCAAACGCTGTCTACACGTGACCCTTGGTCACTCACGGCGCAAGCTGAGCAGTTTCAGCAGATTGATGTTACCTTCCCAGGTCGTTGACTCTGATTGTTTCTTGAAGCACGATGATGAAAACAAGTATCTCTCAACAAATGAGCAATGATTTGAGAAAGGCCAGAAAAGTTTGTGTGTCGCTGAAATGGTTTTCTTTTCTATCCAGCTGCTGATTTCTTTCCATTGATTTTTTTTTTCTCCTTTTCGTTCTTTGGACAATTTGATGCATTCTTTGCCCTGACTACATTGTGAAACTATTGTAACAGCTTTGAATCCAGTCCCAATCTACAACCTCCATACTTAGTGAAGAAACAAGCTGCAGGAGGTTTTGATATTTGAAATACATACTTTTGGTTTAATATTCCTTCAGTTCTTCCCCTCACACATCCTCTGTTGCTTCCCCTTCAGTTTCTTCTGATAGCCTGTTACTCTCTTCATCTCTGCTGGCTGTCTAGCAGTGATTTAACACCAGTTAAGTTGTCAGACAACACTGACACTTGTAGAGGTAAAGCTTTTAGCTGCTGCCAGAGTGTTTTCGACTTACAGTGGACGGGGCCTGTCCATGCTCACCTCCACCTAAATCCTGTCAGGAAACAGCAGCTTGCCAACTGCAAAACCACTCCTGACAGAAAGTCCTGCTGCGTAAGAGAAACTGTGTTTCTGAGGTGCAGAAGAAAAAAAAAAGTCTAGGGACTAACTGGACACCAAAATTGCTCCCTGTCGATAAAAGAGCTGGCACGTAGCGTCATCTGTCGCACTGAATAGACTTGAAGTCCCTGAAATAGTTTGGAGTCCTAAAAAAATATATTTCAGTGCTCGGGTCCTGCTGCATTGCAGTTCAATTTTGTTTTTTGCTAGCACAGAGGTCTGAGAGTTAGGTGCACATTACCTCAACAGACTGACTCATTCCTGAGGCTGCAGTGCTGTTGGACTTGCAGGGTGAGAGAGAGCACGAGATGGCATTAACACAGGAAGTGGAGCCTTATTATTAATAGGCGGATAAAGGAGAATAATAATCGTTTAAATTATTCATTCGCTTCATCTGATTATAATGAAACAGTTAAAGTGTGATAGTGTGATAGACACTCAGTAGAGTTGCATCCTTCCACCAAGGCCCGACAGTCCCCTTGTGAAACCACATTTAAATTCACTTGATCCAGATTTTGATTTGGATCCACACCAAAATTCACCCACTTCTAATAATCAGTCACAGAAACAGGCCTGGTTTCTTTTTTTCATTAAATTCATCAAGAAATTAGTTAATGTCAAAAAAAATTCCTATCTTGCAATGTTAAAGAAAGAGGAAGAACATTTCTGGATCCACCTCTTTGTTTAGATCTGCACCAAAATGTAATGTGTTCTTTCTTGACCCTTCTGTTCAGTATTTTTTGTGTAATCTTGACCAACCAACCAACCAACAAATGGACAGTGGTGGAGGGAGGATAACAACCTTGTAGCACTTACAAACATTTAGAATGGGACTCAGTAGAGCACGTACAGTATCTCTGCTAAGGTCCAACAGGTCCCCTTATGAAACCACATTTAAATTCACTAGATCCAGATTTATATATTTATCTGCACCAAATTACAAACACTCAAAGAAACCAGTTCCTTGAAAATGTACATTTTAATTTAATTTTAAAGTAAAGATTAATGATTCCCTGGGAAATCAGTGAAAATGTAAAAAGAAAAGAAAAGAAAGCCCTTATCTCACAATGTTGAACAAAGCTGTGAAAACAAATTCCTTTGTCAGGATCAACTCCACAAAATTTGGTGGTTTCCTCGTGGGCCTATGTCTTATCCTTGCACCAGTTTTCAAGGAAATCCGTTTTTGTTTTTTGCATAATCCTGCTGAAAAACAAACAAACGAACCAACTAAAAAAAGACATGACGGAAACTAGATAGTGTTGTGTCCCTGTAGTGTTATGCTGCTTTATTTTAGAGTTTAGTGAAAGTACAACAAAATAGCCCTAACATTTTCTCACTTTATTTTCCACAAAGAAACAACTTAAAAATAGTGACAACAGCATTAACTTCAGTGATACTGACACAAGTTGGAGTCGATGGGAAAAATGGTGTTAAAATGAGCAACATAACATCAGATTGGCTGTGCTGTGACTTTTTTCTTAATTCTTAAAATGCACTTGTGGTTGTAACGCTCACACACACACCTTCACAACATTTCCATCAGTGTCACAAAATCTCATTTCCAGCTCCTAATGTTTGGTTTGACTCATCGTTTCATCTAATCCCTTTTCAGCAAGACTGTACATACAAGTTTCTCTCTCAGATATGGCGACAGGAAGCAACTACAGACTGAAGCTGGACACTTAGTCCTCGTGCGCTCAGCGACATCATTTTTGAAAAGTTTCATCCACAGACGTCCTTCTTCACCGTGGCTCCTCCCACGCACACATCTCTCTCCTCACCGCCGCTCCGCCGAAGTACCATCCTTTCATTTGAGCCTTTTCAGGAAATTAATTCCTCTTTAATACCCAGGACGGGAAGCCACATCCGCTATCACAGCTTCCACGTGTCCGGAGAGTTAGTCCAATTTTCCATAATTTCAAAACAACACAAATATGTAAACAGCTTAGAAAATATGCACACAGGCAGCAACAAAAAAAAATCCCAAAGCATTTTGTTTTCACAGCGCAGTGTTTCTTCTATCCTCACTCCTCTGCAGTGCAAAAAATGAAAACATGAGGAAAAAACAAAAAAAAAAAACAATAAATAGACTTCCTCTGATATATATTTCTGTGTTTAGGTATATACATATATTTAGAAGAATGGGTCTCTACATGAGCACACAGCTCTTGGCTCGGTCCTTCCTGATGGTCGGGGCCTGGTCCATTTGCTCAGTCCGACCCGGCAGCGGCGGCAGGGGTTGCTGCGACACTCGCTTCAAGCCCCTGCGGGAACTGCTGCGTTTGAGCTGCGGCTTGTGCGTCCGCTGCACCGACGCCAGCGTGGTGATGTGGAACACGTCTCGGACGCTGTTCTCCGAAACCTTGGACGTGCACTCAACATAGGCCACCGCCCCCATCTGTCGACCTATCGTGCTTCCCTACGACACAAAGACGGAGAGAGTGAGATTATTCGTAAGCAAGCAATTTATAAAGGACTGCATGGGAAATGTAAAAAGGGAAAGGGGCGAGTGCATCAAACCTTTAATGAGTAAAACATCAGCATAACTCTCTTTTTCTCTTTTTGACATTTTCTTCTACCTTTTCTCCTTTCAGTGGTTTTCTGTTGTTTATGCTGCTTTCTAACCAGTGCAGCGCATGGTCTAAACCTTACTGTTTGGAATAAGCTGTTTGTTTGGCCTGTGGTGATGCTGATAGCAGCTTTTCTTTCTCAAACTAAAACAGTGACCTGCAGTATATGAGCTGCGGCCAGTAAAGACCAAATCACAGAACCCTGATGCTGCACAAAGAGCTGTTCACCTGTTTATTTAAGGTTCAGTAAAGCTCCACTCAGTACGAACCCCGAACTGGAGAATCAGTTGTCGTGAATGCGCCACATTGTTTCAAAGGTGCTTTTGTCGTGATCGACAAGGTCACTTTTGTTGATGAGTCCCAGCGGTAGCAGCTACAGAGTGCTGGTCACCTGTTTCTTCAAGGTTTATTAATATTGAAGGCATTGCATGACCAAATCGCACCATTTTCGACATTGCACTTCATTGGGCCCTTTACAAGGCCAAGTGTGAAGCCGAAATGAGTTCCACATACAGAATTTACTGGTCTTTTTTTGTATCTTCACTGCTGTTTGAAATCTTCCAGCATGCACCCCGATCGCTCACACTTCCTTTGCACAAGCAGGCAATTTATATCTACAGTAAAAGACTAAATGTCCCAGAAAGAGGCAGCGGTCCAGAGACAAAGATGCCGATCTGGACCGTAGACTGAATGTCAATGATCTAAACATGTCTGGAGACAAATGAAGCCCCTCCATCCGAGGCATGAATAATGCAGATGCTCTAACTCCTTGGTCTGTGGGAGCAGAGCAGCCCAGAGAGCCAGTGTTGACAGGGTCTGTGCAGCTATTTAGAGAGAAGAGGCTAAACCCTTAACGGAACTCCTCCAGCATTAAAGCGTTCCCCTGAGTAATGTTACAATATACCCAGTTAATTGAGACTGTAAATTGTTTGCGTGAAATCAAATCAGAAACAAATTTAATTTTGAAATCCCTCGGCCTCCCTCTTGACTACAGCACAGTGCAGCCTCTTGTTTAATCTCCTGTTTCATGATCACACTCATAAACGCAGGTTCAGGCAAAAATCAACCTTTGAAAAGTTTTGTAACAGATGAAACAGGGCTGCGTTTCCCACGACCTTACAAATCTCTCCGCCACAGAGAGATTTTTTCATCCGCAGTGGACGGGCTTTGAATTTCGTCGCAGCTACGCACCGCGCTACATACGAGATGCACTGACATCCTCATTAGGTGGAACGATGGCCAAGGTGGAGATTGGCATGACAAGCAGAGAAGCTTGATCGGATCTCTGGGCAGATTAGCGCGGAAATGTCTAGAGTTCACCCAGTGGTCACTTTTCGCTGCTGACTCCTCAGCTGTGTCGGAATTCAATTTAAGATCAACAACAGGATAACAACACAGCCCTATTGGATTAGAGCACCAGAGGGTTCATTGTGTAAAACTTTGGCGTCTGCTGTGCGACACACATTTTCTGGACACGTTAGAGGCACAAACAGTAACTGTCCCAGACAAAATCAGTGACTGAGGAGGAGCGGGACAATAGTGCAGGCCTCGACCCCAATGGGTCCTCACTATTTTACATTGGCTAAGTGTTTTGCCACTCCATTTTTGTTTATGTATCTTATTTACATGAACTCTCTGTTTTTCAGTTGCTGATTTTTCAAAGGCTGCATGTTTTTAGCCTCCAGCAAGCTCTCAGACAGCAGCGGGGGGGGGGGGGGGGGGGGGGGGGGGCTCCTTTTGTTCTGAGGGCTTTTGTGCGGCGCTGAAAAAAAAGCCCCTCCGCTTTTTGTATGTCTGACACTGGAGAGCACTAAATGAACACGGTAGAAGCTGATTAAATATTCACACATTTACAGAACAGTTTATCATCCCCTCCCTCTTCTCCCCATCCCCTCTTGGCTTAGAGGTCATGGCGGCGTGTGATAAAAGGGCTCACTCATTTATCAACGTCCGTTTTTTCTATTCATCCCTGCATTTTGAAAAAACCCTAAATCTGCATGAATATTTCATTTCAGGGGGGAAAAAAATGTGTCCACTAACTGCCCCTGCAGCCTCCGCGGCCCTCACCATAAGCAACCATACAACCCTTGTCAGCAGATTTTAGTCAAAATGCCAACCCCAGCAACACGTCCCCGAGGGGTTTCACACAGCTCTTATTCTGCAGCCGTTGATTGTGTTGCATGAGCCTCCCCTCTTACTTCCCTCCTACGGGACTTCACAAGAGTGAAATGCCACTGCTGATCCTAGATGGAAGAAAAACACATTATTTCGCTGGCTTGCTTTCTAATGTCTTTTCTGCATGTCTTGTTGTTTTCAAATCTGTCTTTCTTCAAACAGGGCACCTACAAATTCCTTCTCTCATCATTTATACCACCCTCTCCCCTTTTTCTCTTCCTCCTTTATCCATCATGTGCCTGTTCTCACCTGTTCGTGAGTGACGGGGATGAGCCGCTGCTTGGAGAGTTCCCTCAGGGTGTTGACGTCTGTCCTCATGTCCAATTTGCAGCCCACCAGCACCACCTTGGCATTGGGACAAAACTCCTGGGTCTCGCCTTGCCACTGTGGAGACATAAGTTGGCACAAAAATACATCAGGGATTTGGCCAAATATGAGAGCTGGTCGCAGATTAATGCTCTCTTGATTAGTTGTGCTAACAGGTCAAATGTTTTATGAAATTTTAAACTTTTAAAACACATTTATATCAACATCATAGGTGAGGTTAATTATTTTTGCAGAGTAGGTAATGTTTTCGCCCCTATCTTGGTTTGTTAATTGTTATTTTGATGACACTAAAACTACAGAAATGATTCCTACGCACTTGGAGGAACAGGGGGACATCGGCCAAAAAAGAACCCATAAAAATCACTTTCTTTAGGGCGATTAATTGACATATGCACCAACTTTCCAAAAGTCACATTTAGGGAACTGATATCTGAGTGTGTAAAATTAGGTGACGCTTGACTGGATTTAAGGGCACTGATGGGCCTTGGCGGAGATATGCACTCTACTGAGTGCCATTCTAGTTCCTCAATGATTTTTAAGAATATGTGTGAACATTTGTTTTATTCATTTCTAAATCGAATATGTTCTGGTTTTTGGAAAGTTGATTGAACAAAATCATTAATCTAAAAGACAATATTAAGAATAACAAAATTGTAATTGGTAAGAATGTATGGTTAAAAGATGAGTCATGCAGGTTTGGTTTAGGTTTCTGCATGACCTTAACTGTGTTATATTTTCCTCAGACAAACAAGTCTATTTCAGGTTCTCTACAGAAAATGTTGAGGCCGTCGTCTTCTTTCTAAAATGGAGATTAAATGTCTCATCTGAAACTCAGCTGAACCAACAGAGTCGTCTCTTCTGCTCGCGACACAAATACGCAGCAGCCGCCGACTGCCCTGGAATACTCCATAAGCCTTGTGCAGAATGTCAGGGGTGTCCATTCAGCTTTCATGATGAAAACAGTGTTTGACCTTTCAGGACCACCCCATTCTACCAATAACATCCAATCAAAAGCTTTGATTGTTTAACCCTCACTCCTCCCACAGCTGTCTTCCAGGGACCCCGGTAACTTGCTTGTTTCCAGAGGTCAAGAGTCTAATTTGGGATGGTGATTGTGCAACAGGTTTTCCATGTGCCCCTGGGTTTCAGAGATTACCAGGGCGACAGCTACAGGTCAGGGGTCACGGCAACCCCCTGCCAAGGGATTCATGGGAAAACCACAAGCTTGACAGCAGCTCTGCTTCCCCTTGTTGACAGAGTGCAATGAGGCTTGTGAGATGTTTGTGGGTTAAAAAAAAGGTGTCTCGGGTTAGATCTACAAAGTCTGCTGGGACATTTTAGCAGCTCCCCTCAGACCACTAAACACGTCAACAGGCCAGACGTGGGAACGGTCTTTGGGCCACATGGAGTACAGTTCAAAGATGAGCGCCTACACATGGCTTCAAGATGACCGACCACTAAATGGCACTGGCTTGTTCTAAGAGACGCACTTGTACGCAAACACGACCAATTAAGCCGGGTGTCTCAGCATGTGCAATAAAAAACATATCCATGACCACAACTAGCCCCCCCCTACACTTAAACGCCACTCAATCTCAACTCCAGAATCTAAACATCTGAACCATAAACCTTTTTACTTATGTTAACTTTCACCATCTGGCCAACTGCTCTGCATAATACTTAGATTTCAAAATTTAAATGTCTACAGAGCAGGGATTTCTAGTACTCTTGAACCAGCTTTGCATCAGCTTTTTTATATAACTGCTGTGGCTAATTTGCGTATCTGATATTCCTCTCGAACTCACCCTGCAGCAAAGCCTCTTGTCTCATTCTTCAGTCTGACCTTCCATTCCTTGGAGGGACATGGGTCAAGTATCCACGGACATTTGATGAGATAAAGGAACAGGAGGCTCTAAACTATGTGCTGATTTGCTCTATTGTCGAGCCATGAAAATGCAATCTGCTGCCACAGAAATACAAGATGCCGGTCGGGGGAAAAAATTATTTTTATTTTTCCGGTTGGTTTTCCGGTGTCGCAGGAGATATTAAATGCTGATCCAAAGTGTTGAAAGGAGGAGAGGGAAAAAAAAAAAAAGCACTGACCTTCTTTATAACGCTGTCCAAAGTCTCTGGGCGGCTGATGTCGAAACAGATGAGTACCGCATCTGAGTCAGGATATGCCAGCGGCCTCACGTTGTCATAATAGGAGGAACCTGCAGACACACAAAAACATATGACTTGTTTTTAACCCGTTTTAATCCCAGGAGCTCAACCATATGGTGTTTTCTGTCAATAAGAAAACAAACTTGAAGGGGATCAAAACGCCATCCACACATGGATAAACCCCAATTAAAGCAGGATCTGTGACACGCACTTGGACATGCAGCGGCTTGTATATGCCTGTTCACACTCTGCACATGTAAATGAGGGTTAATGTCAACAGTTATGCGCACGTGTTGAAGATTCTTTGTCTCGTGATGTTCCAGGGATGTCGAGGGGTTATACGCACACTCAAAACTGAATGATAGTGGGTTGAGGACCGGAGGACTTAAGAACACGATCTATAATCATCTCAGAACGACAGAGAATGTCGGCACAAAGGCCAAACTAAAGGTTGAGCCCCTTAATTTTCTTGACTCATCCCTCTTCCTGTCTCTCTCTTGCAAATGGCTCTTGCTTTAAAAACTTTTCCCTGACAACATGAGATTCACAAGCACTTGCACACATTCCACGCACTCTCGCATTTCATTTCAATACTTTGATCAAATTTGAAGGCAGAATGGCGCCTCTGTACTTTCACAAGCCGCTCGGTTACACGACTCCTGCTCTCTCCCAGCTCTCATTAGGAGGCTTGTAAAAATATCTGGGCTCTCCGGGAAATGTGGCCGTGGGCGTCCTGCCTCGCCTGGTAACCGGTGCTGACCTGAACTCTTTTCGATAGCAACCTGAACGCATAAATTAAAAGCACACAGGTTTGGTGACAGATCGTTCACAGTTGCTAGAAATGGATCTGTGAATCATATTTTGCAGACGTTAATTCATTGCGGTCGCACAAACAGATTATGATAATTATAGATGATATTTGTACAAGCTGTCGCTGTGCTACCTGACCTGACGCACGACAGGCAGTCGGCATGTTAAAGCTCTGTGTGCCTTTGTCTGGCAGGGTAAATGGAGTCTGCACAATGGGGCTACAGCCTGTTTTTGCACCACTATGTTCTCTTTGTTAATGATGGAATGAGACGATCACAATAGCTGCATGTGGCCTGTAGCCCCCCCATTACTCAGCTGGCTGTCGATGGTGACCTGCTCCCTCTCCAATAAGAACAATGCAACAGGCTTTGTGTCGCAATATCACTGGCTTTTCGTTTTTCGTTAAGTTTTTGTGTGTGAAACAGTCATTTTTATATATTTAGTTTAACACAAAAATGCTCTTTGCCATAGAGGATTATCGATGTGTTTAGGGGACTGATATTTGTGAGTCTGTACAATTTTTGGTGCAGATCCAAATAGAAATCCAGACCTAGTGAATTTAAATGTGGTTTCACAAGATACCTTAGCGGAGGTATGCACTCTGAGTGTCCTTTCATGTTTTCAAACATACATTGTTTGTAATTTGGCTTGCCGTCTTTTTTGTTTCTTCTTTTATTGTGGTACTGATGCCAGTTCCAATATGCTCCCTCTGGAAAATGCAATCTATCGTACCCTTGCTCAAGGTGTGTATAACCATGGATTGTGTGTGGTAATGAAACTTGCATTCACGGGCACTTTGGGGCATTGGGTGTTTGCACTGAAACTGCACTCTTCTTTCTAATTGAAATAGGACCTTAAACTGTGGTAATGAGAATTGTAATCATGCAATTTTGTTTTATTGTTTTAAGAGCAGATCCTACCATAATGATTAGCTACAGGAAAATGTTAACTAGCCACCCCCCATCCCCTATGCATCACGTGACCTGCAATTTTGACTGTAACCACCACCACAATTGCTGCACAGTCTGCACAGTGTTACTGACAGCTTGGTGCTTGTGCATCTGGACAAAGAAGCACAAGATATAAACAATACATGGACCCGCTTATCAAATGTATGCTCTCTTAAAACCTCCATTGCCAGAGAGTCAAATACCCCAAAGGATGGTTCTTTTAAACTTTGCAAAAACTTCTCTACTTTTAAAGATACAAAGTATACTACAATTATATGTTTAATGTAACAGAATCATTTTCATTATCCTACACCATAAGCCACATTTACAGGAATTTATAATCCCTACTTCATCTTATAAATACAAGAGTGCTACTTTTTTCCAGTGGTGTGAAAGAAGGACTAACACACACCTCCACACACACACACACTTATACGCTCACACTTCCAAAAAAGGCCCAATCACACAGATGCGTCCGCAAAGCACTCACTGTACGACAGCGGGCTCTGATTGGAAGTGGTCACACATGAGATCCTGTGAGTGCTGAAGTTGGTCTTTAGTATGTATCACAGTGCAGCAGGCTCGTACTGAGGTTAGAGCAGGAGAAGAAAAGAGACAGAGCATGTGGGGGTGGAGAGGGGACAGAACAGATTTAATGACTTTGACACTGGAGCGAGGGCAAGGTGCAGAAGCATGCGAGGAAGAGAGAAGTGAGCGAGGAATGAACACCAAATCCAGATGAGGGGCGAAAGACGTCGGATAAAGTAGGGTTGAGACAATGGTGCTTGTTTGACTGAAGAAGTAATTAGTTGCTGGAACGAGGCCGCTGGGATTAATTTGTCAACCCCAAAGATCAAAATGATTGGCAGGTCATGTGCACGACGGGCCTCATCACAGAAATGCAGAGCTGCTCTGCCCTGAGCGACACAGAGGCTACCTCAGCACTTTTGCAAAGTCAGAAAAAAGTCCTCTGCGGGAAAGGAGAGGTGGAAAACGGGCTGTGTTCAAAAACAAGCTGAACAGGAACAAACAAAAGCCAATCACCATAACAATCAAAAACATGAAGAGGAGGAAGAGGACAAGAAAGGGGGTGAAAAAGATAAAAGCTGACGTAGCTGTGGAGGAGACGGGGAGAGAGGGTGAGCAGTGGGTGTTTGGGTAGGTAATGAAAGCACTGGACTCGGCAGGACAGATCAAATAAAGAGGTATGAGAGCTCTGGCTTGGCTATTGGTCGAGCTGGCCTGCACCCATTCACTGTGAGGTGGAACAAAAGGTCAATTGAATTTCAGACAGAGGCAGGACGAGATGGATGGGGCAGGAGGGAGAGGAGCCCAACCTGGCAGGAACCACTAAAAACCATCACGCCTGGCAAGCCATTGGGCCCCGCCACTCTGTGCCAAGGACAGGCATAAAACACCCCTCACAAAACCTCCAAGTAGAGTATTAGCATTAGCCTGATTTAGCACCGGCAATCTCTCATGGTGAAAAGTGGATTTCTGTCTTTATTTCCCCGGGGCTAATTAGCGCTAAGCCATGCTGCAGCACCACACAGGAGTCGCCGCCAAGCAGAGGTGACAGAGGTGGGAGGGGAGCGACTCCTCGCCAGCCATCAGTCGAGCATTCTCAAAGGCCAGACACATCCCAAAGGAGGTTGAGGCAGACAGAAAATTAGTGAAACGCTAATGCACAGTAATAAGGCTCGAGGGTTTGTGCTACGACTTCATTTATGCCTCCTGTCCCCTGACATCCGCCTGTGGGGATGATCCATCTGAGACATGACGTGACGGCTCTGCTTATTCGAACCCTCATCTGTGTTTCCATTGTCTTAGAACTCACAATGAAATTACTTTAACAATAAAACCCAAATGGTGCAGTCTGATGGGGAAGATTCTTCAGGAAGCCTGTGAAATTGAGTGTGCATCAGCATCTAACGAAGCCTCCCAGTGTTCAGCGCATTAATCTGCACCATCACATCAGGAATTTGTCAATTTTGCTCTCTGTTTGTTGGCCGCCCGTTGCAGACGCAGCTAAAAAGCAAACCATTATGAGTGAGGGGAAAAGAATAGTCTTTGCCTCTGGGCTCTCTGATGTGTTCATGCACATATGGCAAGAGCAACTAACAGCCTCATTAGGGCCATATAGAAGAAAACTTCCATGCACACAAACATAGGCAAATATTATCACCAAATAAATGATTGAGTAACTGCAACTTTAGCAACACAACAAATTCAGCACCGCACACACCAATGTGTCTCTTTTCTTCCCCTGTTTTCCTCTTGATATCAACCTTCAAAGCAAAGGCAAAACATTTCAAGTTAGGGTGGCCGAGTATCGTAGCAACCTGGAGGGATGCAAATGACTTCATTGTGAGGCCCTGAAAGGAAGGAAGGAGGAAGCAGGCAGGAGAGAACGCGAACGCTAATGACTCTGGTGCACTGGCGATTAGAGGCGTCTAAAAGGAGGGAAGAGGAGGGTGGGCACTCCATCTTCTAAGAGGGTTCAGCAGACTCGCCATTGTTGAAGGTCCGGTCTGTGTTTTGAACTTAGTCAGGGTTTGACTCAAACTGAGACAAACAAAGACTGCTGCCAAGACACCGTTCGAGAGGTGGAGTAACCCAGTGCATTACTCTGGTGTACAAGACAGCACAAAACAGTCCCATGTCCAGAATTCAGTATAGTCCACCACATATGGACCCAATGACCTTGTTCCCATAGCAGGAAAAACTCACTGTTCAGGCGGCGGTTTAAAAAAATTTACATTTATACTGCAGGTAGGTAGGGAAATATTAAACTCATTAATATCAGCTTAATAATTATTAGACCTACACATTCAAAGATTCTCCATTTTGGATAATAACAATAACAACTTTCATACTGTTGGCACCTCTGGTTTCCCTTCACTTCTGTGTGATATGAAAATCAATTAGTAGACTAGTGAAATTAGTTTGAGTTGTGTAATCCATCACAGTGATGATAAAGTGTGCATTTGTTTTTCTCAGCATTACATTGTCGCCGCTTGATAATGCAGTATAAGTACATATTGATTTGCAATATCTCATTACAATAATGTGACAAACATTCATGCAGACTTTATTTTCACTTTGATTGATTACACAACTCAATGTAGGAGCCAATTTGACACAAAGCAGGGATTCAAAGTCTGGAGATCTCTGCCACTGTTGGCTGTTCAATGGTGAACTTTTTTTCTCCTAATTTATGGAGGAGCAAGAAAACATTTCTGCGCCACCTCTTCACTACATTACAACTTGGAAGCTACCTGCAACCCTTGATGGGGAGGTAAAATCATACACCTCTAGTGGGTCTAGTACACACTGTCCTACAATCTTGTATCTGCCATCTCATCCTTTCAGTCACTACCCAGACTGTAGGTGAGGATCGGAATGTGGATCGATTCTGCCTTGTTGTGGCTTAGCTTCCTCTTCAACCACAGCAGTCCGGTAAAACCTGCATTACAGCTGATGCACCAACCCACTTGTCTGTCTCCTGCTCTGTGAACAAGACCCCAAGATACTTAAACTCCTTTACTTGGGACTGCAATTCATCCCCAACCCAGAGAGAGCAACATTTTCAACAATGGGCAATTTTCCATGTTCAGACAGAGCTTACAGAGTCACATGGTCTGCAAAGAGCTGCATTAAAATCCTGAGGCTCCAAAAGTCTCCTCATCCCTAGAAAACCTGTCCATGACAACAATATGGAGTCCAACATGCTTGCTCGAAACGTGCTGAAATTGCAACCACATGCACAAGTCTCTAGGACTTTCAGAAAAAAAGTTATTCAAAAATATCTTGTACTTTTTTTTATAGATTTGGTGGTTTCACCATTTCCGAAGGTCATAGAACTTCCAATGGTACCAATGGATCGGGCATAGCCACATTAGTGGAG